CCATATATCCAACACCAATCCACAAAGTCCTCCTCCATCTCACAAAACACATGCAATGATGCTGACTGCAGGAAGAAAGCCCAATCAGTGAACATGTAATCATCTCAGCGCTGGCAGGGGTCTGCACACGGCTGTTTCAGCACCCAGGGCTGCATCGGGATAAGTCCATGCAACTTTTCCTTGGGGAAGTCTTGCAGGAAGTGAGCCTTGCCAGCTGAAGCAGGGAAGGTAGCTGCACCCTTGTCCAACCATTGAAGAGCAAGAGACCTGAGAACTAGAAAGACAAAGCTCACTGAGCCATTTCTCTCTCTGCCCTTTAATTAACCCCACATGTGTTTATTAGCCAGGTTGGCACAATAAACATTAACTATCTCACTCAGTTTAATACATCATTTGATTTCTTAACTTGTACTTCCATGAACCTTGGTTGTAGATCCAAGCAAAATTAAAACCTTGACAACTAATTTTTTCTCTATTTGTCTTGATTTTAGTTACTGGTCCATTTTGTTTTCTTTGTATTCTTTCCTCTTTGTTTCCAACTTTTGCATTCCAATCAGCAATAATTATCAATGCATATATAATTGCAAGCTTCATCAGTTATAGACTGAAGAGCTGGTAGAATCCTTCAAGTTCTGCATCACTAGCTTTAGTGGTTGGTACGTAAATTTGAATAATAGTTTTATCAATGCTGGATTTCCTTGTGTGTGCATAGATATTGTCATGTCACAGACTGCATTGTGTTTCACAGAAACTCTTGAAATGTTCTTTTTGAAGATAAATGTGACACAATTCCTCTTGAATTTTCATACCTAGCAAAGGAAACCATATGATTCTGTTATCTAAAATGGCCAATACCAGTCCATTTTAACTCATTAACACATAGGACATTGATAAGTATGTGTTCTATCTCATTTTTGATGACATAAATTTTCCTAGATTCATACTATGTACATTGTACATTCTGACTATTAATGAATGTTTGCAGCTGTTTCTTCTTATTGAGCAAAATAAGGTCTTCAAAGTTCTCCTGCATTCACATTAGTGAGGTGGACTCTTTTGAGAAAGCAGTTGTATTTTAAATACATTTCAACCCGTGGAGCTCATCATCCAGACCTAAGAGAAAAAGAGGACTTCTTTATCGATTGTTTAAGATTAGGGGAAAACAGTAGTCAGAAGGAGCTAACTAGAACTGAAAGGTATATGCCCAAAGATTTCCCATTAAAACTCTCATAAAATGGCTCTTGACTGATGAACCCAAAAAGTATTCCTGCAGGTAAGAGGACTTGAAAGCTTGCTTCCATAAAATTTCAGACCAGGAAATTGTATTGAGGTGGCTTTACTCTACATATAGTAAATTCTCATTGACTTGACAGCACACAACATTGAATGGAGGTCTACTAAGATAATTAAGTGAGAGTCTGTAAATGAAATGCCACAGACTGTGCTTGATATGGGAGCCCTGGTGACATAGTGGGTAGTCTTTAGCTTCAATCTACAAGGTCAGCAGTTTGAGACCACAGGCTGCTCTGTAGGAGAAAGATGAGGCTTTCTAATCTTTTAAAGAGTTAAAAGTCTGAGAAACCCATAGGGGCAGTTATATCCTGTCCTATTGGGTGACGGTTTGTCGGCATCCAGTGGAGGGCAGTGAGTTTGGAGCTTGATATTTAGTAGGTATATAGTAAGAATTGGATCCCTTATTTTTGAATTTTTTTCTTCTTCTGAGTGTACATGAACTTTTATTTGATTCTTCTACTGACTCACTTCTCTCAACTCATGGCATAAATGTAACCATTTTGCCAGATCCACTCCAACCAATCTATTAAAATTAAGGCTGAAGTATGTGATTTGAATAGATTCTAATGGTTCTCAACCTGTGGATTGTGACCCCTTTGTGGGTGAATGACCCTTTGACATGGGTCACCTAAGACCATTGGAAAACACATTACTGAGACACCACTCCTCCATCCGTCTCCAGGCAGGTCCACCCACATGTAGGTATGCTGCTCTGTCAGAAAGAAGCTATCTCAACCTTTGCACTGACTTTGGCTTTTTATACATACTGTTGCAACATGTAGCAATGCAGTTTACAGTTGTTATATTAAGACTGTTACCCATGCTACACCATGCTTCAAGACAAAATTTCATTTATTTGTCATTAGAAATAAATATTTCACAATATATAATTACATATTGTTTTGTGATTAATCACTGTGCTTTAATTATGTTCAATTTGTAACAATGAAAATCCTG